CTGAGGCCCAGAGAGGGCAAGTAACTTACTCAAGATCACACAACTGGTTAGTTTTAAACCCAATCTGGCTTCAGAGTTCATGCTCTTAACCATTTCACTTAGTAGCAACCCCAGAGAACATTTCCAAGCAAAATTTAATCTGAGTTGAGTTTAACTGCAATAATTTGCAATTAAACTTTGATTTAATGGAATAATTTTTACATTTGATATTTTCCTTTCAGTTTACAATTTGCAGCATGTTTTGCCTCCATTCTTCTGAATCTCAGCCCTGCCATTTACTTGGCTTCAGGTCCATTACTAGCTAAGCTTCAGTCTTCCCACCTGTAAAGTGGGGACAATAGTACCTGTTAGGAGGGTTTAAGCCCTAGGCCAAGCCCATCATAAGCCCGATACGTGTTTGCAGCTAATGTTGTTGTGATGATTAATATCTCACTAGAACTTCATAACAACAGCATGAGGTAAGGACGCTTTTCTATCCTCATTTCTCAGGTGCGGAAACTAGCACTCATAGAAGGGAAATAACTAGCCAGAAAGGAAACAGCCAGAAAGTGGAAACACCAGACTTGGAAAATGGTCCAACTCCAAGCTGCTGCCCTGCTCCCAACCCTCAACTCCACCTCCTCTCTCTTCCCCAGGAGGCACTGTTACAGGAACCAGATCATTCTTCAAACAGGTCTGTGGGAGTTTGAGGCCATTGGAAGTTGAGGCTCAGAGAGAAGCTCTGAGGAATTATATTAAGAAAGTTTTCAAGGTGAAAATCGGTACCGACGCCATGACAGATGAGCAGCACCTTACCTCATCCCCCAGCAACTGCCAAGGGGGAGATGGGACCAAGGTTACACACTGTGATGAGCTGGGCTGTCCCCAGGAGCCACAGTGGCTTGGCCATGGGTGTGTGGTGGGGTGTCCTCAGGCCGGGAAGTGAAGGGAAACAAAAGTTTTTTCCTCCAATTCTGTCTAAAATAGCGATTTTCAATCTTTTTCATCTCAGGGCACACATAAACTAATTACTAAAATTCTGCAGCACACCAAAAATATATTGTATGTTTTGCCGATCTGACAAAAATATAGGTATAATTTTGATTCATTCACACAGGACAGCCATTGTTGTGTTGGCTGTGGACAAGAGGAAAAGAGATCAGTGCCCCTGACCAAATAGTCTGGTATTGCATAGTTGTTTTTGTGTCTGTTTTTTTCTCCAATTCAATGCTTTTGTTTAGTGCAGGATTTATCAGAGCCTTTATTATAAAAATGCACACTCTGAATCTTCATTGAGGCAGGATAACACATGAGCATTTAAATTTTTTTTTTTAATTCTTGAGGTGCACCAGCTGAAAATCACTGATCTAAAATAATCAAACGCCACCTTAAAACTGTACTCCTCGCTGGGTTTGTTTTTGGTTTTGATTTATTCCTTTGGTTTTCTGTAATTCTGCCTGTTAATGAACTTGATCAAGTACCTATTAGTGTATCCTGTTCTGATACACCGTGCATTCAGGCCTGGCAAAGGTTCTATGATCAAGTCAACCTGTCTTTCGAGCTGTGAGATCTTAGCCGACTTCGTTAAGACTCAGTTTCTTCATCAGCACCAGTCATGTGAATGGAAGATTCTGGTAGCTGGGATATCCAGGTTTGAGACCAGCCTTCTCAGACTGAAAATCATATACTTCCTCCTACATTAAGCAGAGGCTTCGTTGCTATTTTTTTCCCTCTTAGAATGAATGAAAGTTATTTTGTATCCTTTTGTAGTAAGATATTTTTAAAAAAGATTTAATGAATACTACTTGCAGACCTTCGTCTCATTAACATTCCAATTACTTATTTAGCAAATTGTTAATGAATACCATTAAGTGCCAGGCATTGTGTCAGGAAGCTATAAAACAACAGACAAGACAGACTCCTCATGGAGTTTACAGAGAACTATCCCTTTGATTATGTATAGCCTTTGTTAACAGCTAAAAAGACAGAGACACCAACTACTTTGAATTCCCCCACAGAACCTAGCGCTTGGTGTAAGCCATGGTAGCCACACAATAGTCTCAGAATTTAACTTAAACAATTAATTGTTCGTTTAAATGGATGCACTTTTCTCTAATTAGATGATATCCTACTTCTGTCCACAAGGTGGAGATCTTGCTTACAGTTTACCCAAGCTGAAAGCAAAGCATTCAAAAAAAAAAAAAAAAAGAAAGAAAAGAAAAAATTCTCAGCGGAAGCTAATCAAGTCAAAAAATTAAAATTGAACTCATTGAGCCTCTCTTCGGTGTAATATACCTTGTTAGATATTAAGAGAAATAGAAAGTTGATAAGACATAGTCCCTGCCCTGTAGGGAAAGTTAGGGGTAGGGAGTTTGCACAGAGCAGGAAGACAGTACCCCTCAATGAATTCATATGTTTTGATGTGTCCATATGGGAGCAGCAGTAATCTCATCATCAGATAAGATCTATGAAAAGGCAACGATATAGCCACAATGTGGTGCAGAACAGATGCAACAAAGATCAATATGGAAACACCTGAGAGTACAGTGGGTCAGTGCTGGAAGGCCCTTGGTGTGGTCGGATGCCGCTGCTCAGCCACAAAATCAGGGTGTCTTCCCAGAGCATTACTCATTCTTTGGTGAATAAAATACACTCAGTGTCAGCTGATGACCTAATAGAGTGGAAACCCCCACGTGCAGTTGATGGGGATAAAAAGAGAGAAAAGAAACACAGGTAAGGAAACAGATTTAAAACTGCTTTCAGGAGTTGGATTCCATCCCCACCAGGAATCATGTGCCTTGCCTGGGAATTGGGGTTTGGATCTGGGACACACACTGGTACAGAGAGGGAAGGAATAACCCCCATTCTTATCTAAGAGTTTTCCGGGTGGATTGAACTCAAAGGTGTCTGGAAGACAATGTGATCTGTTGTCTTATTTGTTTTCTTAGGTTCTGCTCCTCCATTCCCTCCTCCAACCATTTTTTTCACCCTTAAACCGTTATACCATTAAGTAAAATGCAATATGGGGATTTTCTTTGTTGAATTGAAAACCACATTTGGGGAATAAAGTGATTGGGTAAATGAGAGAGAGAGAAAGAGAGAGAGAGAGAGAATGAATTACCAACTTGATACAAATATGGAACTTGTTTGATGGAGGGAAAATCAAGCGCATGCTGCCAGGAGACCCGAGCTAAAATTTTAGTTTCTCCACTTGCTAACTGTGAGATCTAGATCTACCGCCAGCCCTGCTTTGTGCGTATTTTCTCATAGAATAGTATCATTTCCTTAGAGAAATCGTCCTGGACACACCCTCCGCCCTCACCCCCAGCACTAGATCTAATCCTGGGCCATCATGCTCTCATAGCAACTTGAAC